TATATATATATATATGTATGTATAGCAAAAATAAATCTAAGAAAATTAAAACTCATTAAAAGAATATCAAATGTCTTTTTCTAAATTAACTACATAACCATCTCAAACTGAGTAACCACTAACATATATTAACCAGAGGAAATAAATTAGTACAATTAAAAGAAGAAAAACATAACATTTCATGGGAAATTATTTTTATAAGTAATTAAGGGTTTATTTATTTACCGTATTAAATGTTGCACTGGTGATTTATTCATGTAACTCTATCATTTTTTGCATGCCATCTCCATCTCATACCCAATAGTCCATTGTATTTTTATCAAGATCAACCTTTCCACGGACAATTTGATACTCATTAGCCTGAGGGGATGTATATGATTGATTTGCATCACAAGTATTAAATTCGGAGTTATTTCTAGATGGATGATATGCAGTAATACAATGTCATCATTGCAACTACTATCTTCACTTGCTTCTTAAAGAATATGTTGGAATGTCATGCAAAATAACAATCCTCTTTTTTTCAAATGTCGAAAGTCCTATTAATCACGCCACGCAAAGAAAAATATCACTTATTATAAATTTCTTATCTTTTAAACTTTGGCTAACTTGTTCTTTGAAAAATAGAAATATGACACAGAAAATAAGTTCATAAACCTTCATCGCATAGAATAACCAACATCGAAAAGATAATATTTTCATATGTATGATATATCACCATTTATTTGAGTAGTTGAACAATATTGGCATGCTTATCATGTATGCTTAAAAAATAAACCTGGTGGTAGTATAGAAAAATTATTTTGTCGATTACGATTTGCGAATTCGAAGAATGTTCAAGAAAGTCCTCCAGATCTCAAGATGATCCAGGAAGCTATAATCGAAGAGAAGGTTGAAAAGCTCAGGGCTGAAATTTTGAGTTAGCCAAAGAGCATGGAGCGGCCATTAATGAAGATGAAGATTTTGATTTTGATTTGAACAATTATCTCGATGAAGATTTTATGGATATTCATGTCATCAAGACTAGAGCCACTACATCCGCGTGCGATGCTCAACCTCTCATTGAAGGGAACACTGTGGAGGATTTGCACTGAGTAGTTATATTAAGAGATGAACAAATCAGTCTGATGGAAAAGAGAACGGAGGAGATGGCCGCCACCATGGTCACCATGGCTACAGTTCATGGACAGTCCCAGTCACAGCAGTTAGCATCTCTAGGAGTCAACCAGTCAGATATAGTTCACATTACCGATGAAAGGATAGAAGTTGCCTCCGATAATGGAGATGATCAACAAAAGAAGGATTCCCCATCAAGTACAATACCAAAGAAAGATATTAAGCAGTTAGTCGAACAATAAATTTGGGAGGCCTTAGCCCAATCCAAGGGTGGTGCATTAATTTCGAAGGGTAGACCTTACCCGGAGGAGTTCAATGTTGTACCCTACCTTAAGAGTTTTGTGTCATCGAACTTTAAGACATTCGACCGGACCAGGAATCCCAGACAACATATAGCACATTTCCAAGCCAGTTGTGGTAACGCCGGAGGTAATAAAGCCTTACTCTTTCGTTAGTTTGTCAGCATCCTTTCAGGAATAGCATTTGATTGGTATGTTGAACTACTTAAAGGATTATTTAAGACATTCACCGAGTTAGAAAAGTTGCTTGTAAAAAAATTTGCTGGAGCACAACACCATGTCTCTATTGGAGATCTTGTAGTGGAAAGGTAAAAACCTAACGAGACTTTAGTAGACTATATCTTGAGGTGGAGAAACCTAAGCATGAAATGTGAGCCTCAACAACAGGAACAACATGCGATTGAGATTCTACTCAAAAGCATCCATGGGTAGGTAGCCTTCACGCTTAAGAGACTCACCATCAAGTCCTTCAAAAAGCTACTAAGCAAGGCCAGTTGTTTACAAAAGGAAGTTAAACATATGGATTCTCAAGAAAAATTAGAAAAATCTAGGATGACCAGAGTATTCGAGAAGAAGTCCGGAACAGTAGGGACAGTTGATATAGGAAAGTAGCCAATAAAGATACAGGCAGAGCATTCTCATCAAAGTTCCCAGCAGTCGTCACAACATGCTCAGTAGTAGCAGATACAATAGTATGACCATTGTAGCTAAAAGTCACACCAGGGAGGACCGCATCGACCAAAGAGTAAATGGGGTCCGAGTCTTACAGAACAAAAGAAGAGAGTATATTCTTTCAAAGATGAGGCTATGCGAAAGATGTTTAGGAACTTAATGAAGAAGCCTGAGTTCAGATTGCCAGAGCCAAAAAGGTCAGAAAAAGCTGACAAGAAAGAGTATCCCAATTTATGCCCCTACCACAGGATGTTGGGACATATAATAGCGGGTTGTTTTATTTTCAAGGATTAGCTCGAAAGGAATTTTAAAGAAGGAAATATAACAATCCCGAAGGAATATTTTAAAGAACCTGAAAAAGGTTCTGTAAATATGATTTTGGCCGATTCAATCACTCCGACAGATTCGTATTCAGAAAAAGATGAATGGATCACAGTTTGGAGCAAGTCATCCAAAAAGATACTGGATCAGGTTCAAACCGCTTCAACACAGGCAACCATCTAGAGTCTATAGCCTGCCCAGCCCAAGTTAGAGATTTTGCTAGAGAAATCACTGCAACAAGAGAAGGAGAAGAAGGGCAATATGAAGAGTGATAGCGCGGCGGTAGGATAGAGGTTGCCTCTGTTAGATTGATTGTCTTGGATTCAGGGAATAAAATCCTCAAACCTCTGACCATGTATGATTATCTTTTCGCCCCACCGAGGTATTATAAATATAATGATTATGATTTCAGTCATGTTCTAATTGTTTCTAGTGATAACGTAACTGATTTTGCTAAATCTAACTCTGATCTCCATTCCCAAACCAATCCTCAAATTGTACTTATGTCCGATGAACCCATAAG